ATTATTTAGAGTAGGGGTGGGCATAAAAATCAATTGGAGGGCCAAAGTAAATTTTCGATTTAACACAGATGGACGAAAACTACCTTTGATGTTTCAAGTGTGCTTCCAAAAACCTTCATGCAGTGCTCTGTTTAATACTACTTTTTACAGGTGATCAGTGTCGGGCCGTAAACGACTAGAGGTTTTCTATCACTTTGCCCACCACAATGCCGAACATTTCACAGTTACTTTCATCACGTTAACTTACTAGATTCTAGGTCAATTTTGGGGCGGGGAATAAGGGGTATCTGGCAGACACACCCCATCATCAGGATTGTCTGACGGTGGCCATTCATAATAACTTTATACAATGAACATCTTACACAGTAGGCCTAAGTTTCATCAGGTTAACTCATTACCTAATCTTGGTCAATTCTGGTGGTATTGAATAAGGGGATGTCTGGTGGGTACACCCCACCACTATAAATGTTCGGCAGTGGCCACTGGTAATATGCTAAACGATATGTTTCCTCGGGTTAACTCCACCACAAATGTTTGATTGTCATTGTGGTCACTCATGTTACATGTAACGTGTCATGTCATGTAACATTCATCAGGTGAACTCACTAGATAATCTTGATAATTTTTTTTTTTCTTTTTTGGGGGGTTGGGAGGGGGCAGGGCATAAGGAGGTGTCTGGTAGAGGGTGCAGGTCAACTCGGCCACAAGTCAACTCGGCCACAGTCAACCCGGCCACAAATCAACTCGGCCACAAAAAGTTCGGCTGCAGTCAACTCGGCCACAAGTCAACTCGGCCACAAGTTAACTCGGCCACAAGTTATTTTTAATTAAAATGAAATGTAAATACGGTATTACAGTTTCTGCATCCTTTTTCTTCAATATGATTAAAATGAAGTACACAGTATATTTTAGTAAAATTCTGATCATCGTCACATCGTCGTGAGATCATTGTATACATTTCTTCACACTGTAATCTTATTCAACAGAGAAAACCCGCCACTTACAGAATGGAATAAAATCTGACAATTGTAACATTAACAATTTAAGCAATCTTAATAATTAAGAAAAACACACATATTAATGTTTAATTTTGTTCACGTTAAAACACTGACATAAAACATGAGTACATACTGTAGACCTAATCATAAAAAATTGAAATAGAAAAACCACATTATGATTTTTTTAAATGTTAAACATTTGGGACTAAAAAGCGGATATAGGCTATGCTGGGTAGAAAAGAGCTCCATTTTCACGTCATTCATAAATAACTAACTGCATACAATACTAGCGTTAATATATACTGTGAGTATCAGAGCTGTATTCAATGTCAATAATAATGGGTTGGAAAAGCATTGAAATCCTGAGCTAATAGGCCCACCAATAGTATGGATCAATAAAGCACAAGAATTCATAATGATGGACTGTATTTTGCACTTCTTTACCGACGTCCCGTACCGGTATTATGAGTTTTTACCAATCACTTTTTATTTACTAGATATAAAAACAAACTGGAATAGACACCCAGACAGTGACATCGGTGAATATATAACCTCATTGGTGGCGGTAGAAATCGTTGCTATTATTCAAATAATACACAAAACAATTAAAGCATAATCACGAATCAGTAAGAATAAAACAACAATACAGCCACAATCGTATGGCCGGACGCACTTAGTGAAAAAGTTTGCCTCCATTAGTGGAAAAGGAAGGGCGACTTTTGCGTCTGGATATACTTAGCAACAGAAGGGCGCCCTGTACGTTGGGCACGAAGTATAGAAAACTTAATTGCATGGTTAAAAAGAAGAGCGCCGCCTACGTTGGGCGCGACTTCCGCCTAATCTTTACAATGCGAGTGCTCTATCTTGTATTTCTAGTATCTTTGGTGTAATGTACACGATTTTAATTTTCGTTTATTGGTACTTTATTTTTG